TTTAGTTTCTACGCGTTTTTATTAGATTTTCAACATTGCAGAACCACCAGAAAATGCTTATTGTAGCCATCAATGAACTTGCTGCACCTTTCTATTAGCAATTTGGCCAACTCTTCAGCTGCAAACTGCTCCAATTCTTCAATGTTTGAGTGGTGCCTTCCACCAACTGCTGTTTTCAGATCTCGCCATAGGTTTTTGTTGGGATTCAGATCTGGACTCATCGCTGGCTCTTCCAGGACAGTCCAGTGTTTATTCTTGAACCATTCCTGGTTGCTTTTTGTTGTGTGTTTGGGTTGTTGTCCTGCTTGAAGACCCACAACCTTTAACAGAGACCCAGTTTTGGGGCACTGGGTTGAATATTGCACTCCAAACACCTTGATAATCTTCTGATTTTATGATGTCTTGCACACGTTCAAGGCCCCCAGTAGGCCAGTACCAAAGGCAGCAAAACAACCCCACAGCATTATCAAACCTCCCCCATGTTTCCTTGTAGGGAGGGTGTTATTTTCTTTGAATTATTCATTTGGTCATCGGTAAACAGAGCTGATCTGTATTGCCAAAGAGGTCTAATTTTGTTTTATTGGTCCACATAACATTTTCCCAGGATTTAGGCTTGTTTAGTTGGGGTTTTGCAAAGTTCAATGGGGCTTTCCTGTGTCTCTTTCAGCAGTGTTGTTTACCAACAACCAAATGAAGCATTCATAGAAAATAACACCCTTCCTACAATAAAACATGGGGGAGGTACGATAATGCTGTGGGGTTGCTTTGCTGCCTCTTGTACTGGGGGCCTTGAAAGTGTGCAAGATTTACAATCCAATAACAATGTTGACAATCCAGTAACAATGTGTGGAATGTTTTTTTCCAATTTTAACTTATTTTGGAAGAAAAATGAAATTATTTAAGAAAATATATTTGGCAACCATGTCAATCTTAAATGCTCATAAGGGCTCTACAAGGTCACTCCATCCCTTCCTGTCTTGGGCTAAATTAAACACCTTTTTCTAGGTGATCCCTAGTCTGGTCTTGAACTGGTCTTGATGGTATGTGAGGGCAGGTACTGTAGTCATAATTGCTAGTCATAATTAGTTTTTACTGCCACACCTGTTTTCACTGTGACTATTGCTAGATATGTACAGTGATGATAAACTACAAAAAATTGAACAATATTTCACAGGCAAAATATTTTTATTATTTCTCCAACCAAATTAACGTAATTATGAGACTCCTCCCTCCACCATGATATTTAGCAGGTGGTTCCACACTGATACCATGCATTGTTTATGAATGCAATTAAGGCCTCCATTCAGCTACTGGCCTTTTTCCATGCTGGCATGGCAGTGTGCAGCAACTGCTATAGCCAACCAAATTCAAGAAAGTGTACAGTAATATATAGAGCCATTATTGCATGGAACTCTGTTCCATCTCATATTGCTCAAATGAACAGCAAACCTGGTTTAAAAAAACTGATAAAGCAACACCTCACGGCACAACGCCTCTCCCCTATTTGACCTAGATAGTTTGTGTGTATGTATTGATATGTAGGATTTATTTTTATGTAGTTCTGTCCTTGAGCTGTTCTTGTCTATTAATGTTCTGTATTATTTCATGTTTTGTGTGGACCCCAGGAAGAGTAGCTGCTGCTTTTGCAACAGTTAATGGGGATCCTAATAAAATACCTAATACAGTGGCTTGCGAAAGTATTCACCCCCCTTGGCATTTTTCCTATTTTGTTGCCTTTTTGGGGGGTTTGTATCATTTGATTTACACAACATGCCTACCACAAAAAAAACAGAACTTGAGCGTGCATAACTATTCACCCCCCCAAAGTCAATACTTTGTAGAGCCACCTTTTGCAGCAATTACAGCTGCAAGTCTCTTGGGGTATGTCTCTATAAGCTTGGCACATCTAGCCACTGGGATTTTTGCCCATTCTTCAAGGCAAAACTGCTCCAGCTCCTTCAAGTTGGATGGGTACTGCTGGTGTACAGCAATCTTTAAGTCATACCACGGATTCTCAACTGGATTGAGGTCTGGGCTTTGACTAGGCCATTCCAAGACATTTAAATGTTTCCCCTTAAACCACTCAAGTGTTTCTTTAGCAGTATGCTTAGGGTCATTGTCCTGCTGGAAGGTGAACCTTCGTCCCAGTCTCAAATCTCTGGAAGACTGAAACAGGTTACCCTCAAGAATTTCCCTGTATTTAGCGCCATCCATCATTCCTTCAATTCTGACCAATTTCCCAGTCCCTGCCGATGGAAAAACATCCCCACAGCATGATGCTGCCACCACCATGCTTCACTGTGGGGATGGTGTTCTCGGGGTGATGAGAGGTGTTGGGTTTGCGCCAGACATAGCATTTTCCTTGAAGGCCAAAAAGCTACATTTTAGTCTCATCTGACCAGAGTACCTTCTTCCATATGTTTGGGGAGTCTCCCACATGGCTTTTGGCGAACACCAAACGTGTTTGCTTATTTTTTTCTTTAAGCAATGGCTTTTTTCTAGCCACACTTCCGTAAAGCCCATCTCTGTGGAGTGTACGGATACTCCAATCTCCGCTGTGGAGCTTTGCAGCTCCTTCAGGGTTATCTTTGGTCTCTTTGTTGCCTCTCTGATTAATGCCCTCCTTGCCTGGTCTGTGAGTTTTGGTGGGCGGCCATATTCTTTCCATTTTTTAATAATGGATTTTAATGGTGCTCTGTGGGATGTTCAAAGTTGCAGATATTTTTTTTATGACCCAACCCTGATCTGTACTTCTCCACAACTTTGTCCCTGACCTGTTTGGAGAGCTCATTGGTCTTCATGGTGCCGCTTGCTTGGTGGTGCCCCTTGCTTAGTGGTGTTGCAGACTCTGGGGCCTTTCAGAACAGGTGTATATTTACTGAGATCATGTGACAGATCATGTGACACTTAAATAAAGTCCACCTGTGTGCAATCTAACAAAGTATGTGACTTCTGAAGGTAATTGGTTGCACCAGATCTTATTTAGGAGCTTCATAGCAAAGGTGGTGAATACATATGCACGCACCACTTCTCCATTATTACTTTTTTAGAATTTTTTGAAACAAGTAATTTTTTTCATTTCACTTCACCAATTTTGACAATTTTGTGTATGTCCATGACATGAAATCCAAATAAAAAGCATTTTAAATTACAGGTTGTAATGCAACAAAATAGGAAAAACACCAAGGGGGGTGAATACTTTCGCAAGCCACTGTAAGTTGCATGGACTCACTCTGTGTGCAATAAGTGTTTAACATTCTTTTTTTATGACTACCTCATTTCTGTACCCCACACATACAATTACCTGAAAGATCCCTTAGTCGAGCAGTGAATTTCCAACACAGATTCAACCACAAAGACCAGAGAGGTTTTCCAATGCCTCACAAAGGACACCTATTGGTAGATGGGTAAACATCAAAAAGTAGACATTGAATATCCCTTTGAGCATGGTGGTTATTAATTACACTTTGGATGGTGTATCAATACACCCAGTCACTACAAAGATACAGGTGTCCTTCCTAACTCAGTTGCCGGAGAGGAAGGAAACCGCTCAGGGATTTCACCATGAGGCCAATGGTGACTTTAAAACAGTTACAGAGTTTAATGGCTGTAATTGGAGAAAACTGAGGATGGATCAACAACATTGCAGTTACTCCACAATACTAACCTAATTGACAGAGTGAAAAGAAGGATGCCTGTACAGAATAAAACAATTCCAAAACATGCATCCTGTTTGCAACAAGGCCCTAAAGTAACACTGCAAAAAATGTCAAAGCAATTTACTTTTTGTCCTGAATACAAAGTGTTATGTTTGGGGCAAATACAATACAACACATTACTGAGTACCACTCTCCATTTTTTCAAGCATAGTGGTGGCTGCATCATGTTATGAGTATACTTGTAATCGTTAAGGACTGGGGAGTTTTTCAGGATAAATAATTAACGCAATGGAGCTAAGTATAGACAAAATCCTAGAGGAAAACCTGGTTCAGTCTGCTTTCCACCAGACACTGGGAGATTAATTCACCTAAACCAGCAGGACAAAAACATAACCATAAGGCCAAATCTACACTGGAGTTGCTTACCAAAAAGGTAGTGAATGTTACTGAGTGGCCGAGTTACAGTTTTGATTTAAATCTGCTTGAATATCTATGGCAAGTCCTGAAAATGATTGTCTAGCAATGATCAACAACCAATTTGATAGAGTTTAAATTTTGTTTTAAAGAATAATGGGCAAATGTTGCACAATCCAGGTGTGGAAAGTTCTTAGAGATTTACCTAGAAAGTCTCACAGCTGTAATTGCTGCCAAAGATGAGTCTGACATTTATTGACTCAGGGGGTTGACTTATGTAATAAAAAAATTAGTGTTGTATTTTTCATTAATATTGTACTAATGTTTGCAATTTAAAATCCATTTTAATCCCACTTTGTAACACAACAAAATGTGGAATAAGTAAAGGGGTGTGAATACTTTCTGAAGGCACTGTAAATGGATCAGAATCATAATTTAATGTAGTGTACATATCAAAGATAGATGGTTATTGTTGTGCGTCTCACTTGTCTCACAGTGCCAGACACCACACCATGACTAAACGGCTGGACCTCTCACAGGCTGTCAAATGCATGCATAGGCTGTCTTTGAGACTTCCTCTGGTGAACGTTTTGGAGAAGTTTGCGGTCTCTGAGAGCACACTTGCACACAAACTCTCTCTCTCTCTCTATGATAATGTGATGCTCATCTTCAGTTCAGTATTCACACGTGAGTGGAGATTGCTGCACGTCTTCCTTTGTAAATTTGTAAAGGATGCACATGAATGCCCGATCGAGCGACCAAGAGGTAAGCATAGGCCCACTCAAACTGTATTACAAGGAACGGAAAATTAATAGGAAACCCCCCCCCCCCCAGTTAATGGCTACATGCCTAGCCTACAACACAGCATATAGAGTGCAGCAATCACTACGCTTCCCACAATTCCATGTTGCCTAATCCGAACGCTCACAGAACTCTCGAGGGACCTTCACAGAATTCTCGAGCAGTCACACGACTAGGTTGAGCAAGAAGCGCGTGATGGAACCCATTACTATAACTGACTGAGACTGATCTGTCTCTCCAGCCCACACATGTCAATAGACACAGAGAGTCGACGGCGGAGATCAACCACCGACGGTCAAGGTGAGGGCGAGCCACATAGCCTATTATTGCTGTTGCTAGAGTTGTGCGATGCTAAACTTTTTTTAGGCTATGTACGCTAACACACCAGCCATATACTTAGTCTAGTCGATGTGCTTTAAAAAATATATATCAATGTCATATAATAAATAATCCTACTTCGAAATAATACCTACATGTTAATACATGCACATTAGGCTACAGTGTAATTTCAAGAAATGTAACAAAGAGAAAAGATAGGTGCATTGCCTATACTTTTTTGATAATGACTGTGTTACTACTGAATAAATCAATTATTGTCGTGGTTACTTAAATCAAAATCAGAGAATAAACCTGTGACGTATGATCACACGGAATAGGCTACAGGTTAGGCCAAATACGGCAGATGGGGTTATTGATCAGGGTTTCATTTTACCATCCAAAGGCATTGTATGCAGCCGGCAATACACTGGTATCCCCCGTGGACCGGTTCCTACCTACAACGTTCTCCATTATTTTATTTATTTTTGATTTCACCTTTATTTAACCAGGTAAACCAGTTGAGAACAAGTTCTCATTTACAACTGCGACCTGGCCAAGATAAAGCAAAGCAGTGCGATAAAAACAACAACACAGAGTTACATATGGAATAAACAAAAACAAAACGTACAGTCAATAACACAATAGAAAATCTATATACAGTGTGTGCAAATGTAGTAAGTTATGGAGATAAGGCAATAAATAGGCCATAGTGCAAAATAATTACAATTTAGTATTAACACTGGAGTGACAGATGTGCAGAAGATGATGTGCAAATAGAGATACTGGGGTGCAAATGAGCAATGTAAATAACAATATGGGGATGAGGTAGTTGGGTGGGCTAATTACAGATGGGCTGTGTACAGGTGCAGGGATCGGTAAGCTGCTCTGACAACTGATGCTTAAAGTTAGTGAGGGAGATAAGTCTCCAGCTTCAGAGATTTTTGCAGTTCGTTCCAGTCATTTGCACCACCATGCTAATGGTACTTCCTGATGTTGCGCCTAGTCCCCTGTAGCTCAATTGGTAGAGCATGGCGCTTGCAACGCCAGGGTTGTGGGTTCGTTCATCAAGAGCTGATGTTGGGCAATTAGGCCTGACTCACAGTCGTCGTTCCAATTCATCCCAAAGGTGTTCAATGGGGTTGAGATCAGGGTTCTGTGCAGGCCAGTCAAGTTCTTCCACACTGATCTCGACAAACCATTTCTTTATGGAACTCGCTTTGTGCAAGGGGGCATTGACATGCTGAAACAGGAAAGGGCCTTCCGCAAACTCTTGCCACAAAGTTGGAAGCACAGAATCGTCTAGAATGTCATTGTATGCTATAGTGTTAAGATTTCCCTTCACTGGAACTAAGGGGCCTAGCCCGAACCATGAAAAACAGCCCCAGACCATTATTCCTCCTCCACCAAACTTTACAGTTGGCACTATGCATTGGGGCAGGTAGCGTTCTCCTGGCATCCACCAAACCCAGATTCGTCTGTCGGACTGCCAGATGGTGAAGCATGATTCATCACTAAAGAGAACGCATTTCTACTGCTCCAGAGTCCAATGGTGGCGAGCTTTACACCACTCCAGCCGTGTGCGGCTGCTCATTCATGGAAACACATTTCATGAAGCTCCTGACAAACAGTTATTGTGCTGATGTTGCTTCCAGAGGCAGTTTAGAACTCGGTAGTGAGTGTTTCAACTGAGGACAGACGATTTTTACGCGCTTCAGCACTCGGCGGTCCCGTTCTGTGAGCTTGTTTGGCCTACCACTTCGCAGCTTAGCTCCTAAACGTTTCCACTTCATAATAACAGCACTTACAGTTGACTGGGGCAGCTCTAGCAGGGCAGACATTTTACAAACTGACTTGTTGGAAAGGTGGCATCCTATGACGGTGGCACGCTGAAAGTCATTGAGGTCTTCAGAAAGGCCATTCTACTGCCAGTGTTTGTCTATGGAGATTGCATGGCGGTGTGTTCGATTTTATACACCTGTCAGCAACTGGTGTGGCTGAAATAGCCTAATCCACTAATTTGAAGGGGTGTCCACATACTTTTGTGTATATATAGTGCATGTCATTGTGTGAACACACCTCAATGTACAATATGACCACACTGCTTCTTGCCTTTGTGGTGACATTTTTGGACAGATGCTATAAATTAGCCTTTAGTGTAACGTACCCTCTGCAGTGTTGCAAGATTCATTGTAAGTATTAGTCTCTCAACTAAGCTGATCTTTCCTCAGCAGGGTTCACAGCAGTAACTGTGGGACCAGGGTCTCATGTCTCTGCAGCCAAGCTACTGTAGCCTACACATTACAGGCCAGCTGACAATCACAGCACTAGCATCTGTCACTGTGTCAAGGGGCATGTATGCTGCTAGCCTCCTGTGGCAGGATTCTGTACTCTCCTATAAGAGAGACATGCTGTACACGGCTGGTAAACGAGACTAGTATGCTACAGACCTGGTTTAAACCAGAACAGGTACGACAGCGACCTGGTTAGGTTTTATTCAAGGTTACTACTCATTTTAGTCTAACACACATTGCTGTGTTTACGCAGTAGTTCTTTTTCCCCATGGACAAATAATGTCACTGAATGGTAGTGGGTACTGTAAGAACCTACTACCAGTAAGACACGTCTCACAGGTATGATCTTTCAGTGTTAAGGACAGGAAGTGCCCCTGTTTGTGGCGGGCGGCCTGCTAGTGTTAACATTGGATAACATCTGTCTGCCTCGTCTGTTTACAGGAATCAATGAATGTTTGTAACATGCAGTTGAAACTGTATGACCTTAAGGGGACATTGAGGACATTGTGGCATAAAGATGGGGAAGTTCAAGAACATAGTCTGTTTTTGTACTGGTAAAGGGAAGTGAAACTAATCCTTCTGTATTTTACTCAAATCAAATCAAAGTTTATTGGTCACATACACAGTTTAGCAGGTGTTACTGCATGCCTACTGTGACAATATGAGAAGCCTTGGTACAGAAGAACAAGTCAGGGGAACATTAGATCACACTTTGGCCTAAGTGCATTGCATGACTGCTTACTTGGATGAATAAAGGTTAAATAAATAAAGTGTAATGTATTGGGTCATAAAGTTTATTTGCCACCATCAAGCACATTCTGAAAATCCACGGTGGAGGGAATTGCTCATCATAACGGACCAGGCAGGCAGGCACGCCTGTGTTGTTTCCGGCAGAGTTTTGTCTCAGTGAACAAGCCCAGCTTTTGTCTGTCTGTGGCCGTCTGTCTGTGTCTGTCTGTGGGAGGAGGCAGTAATTAGAAACAACAGCTCTTGTTATGGTCAGTATACAGCGCAGACGTAGACAGAGACTTCATACTTAGTTATGACCAGCACAAGTGTGTTATTACTGAAATCACATGCCTCTCCTCCTCTTCCAGACATGAAGTACAGGGTCATTGTCTCTGACCTCTGGTCTTAACATGTCTCTCTAGTTCCACCAGAACACCACACACTAGACCAGTGTTTATGAAACTCTTTGGGTCACGGCCAGAACCTCTTGTGCCAGTGTTTACATCTCCTCCCCTCGTCCACTCCCTGCAGATTCTCCATGGGACCGAGATCCCCAGGGGGGGCACCTCCACAGGCCACTGTGTGACCGGCTGTGTGTGGCCAGCCTGCACTCAGAGCTGAGGGATGCCTGCACCCCCTCGCCTTCCCCCTCCCTCCTCCCTGGACCAGGTGTATACACGCCAAAAAGACCATCCACACACACACGTGAGTACAAGGTCCCGTCCCATTTTGATACTATAGCACTAGGAGAAGAGAGGGCGCTAAGGGTTGAAATGGAACCGGGCCAGAGATTAACTTTTGGTTGTTATTATTAACCTCAATAGAGTTGGATTGTAACATGATTGAATAAATCTCTCCCTTCAGAACTCAGCGCCCATGCCTCTGATGATGTATGGGAGGATGCCACCAACAAGACCACTATCAGAGCAGAGAATGAAGTGGAGGCCAACAAACTAGCCAACAACTACAGGGTATAGTACAGTATAGTATATGAAGCAGAATAAACAAAATTGCAGATTAATTAAAGATTGTGATCCATCCCAGTTGTGTTTATTTAAATGTATTTATTTAAATGTATTTAAATAGGGAAATCCCATTGAGACCAAGGCCTCTTTAACAAGGGAGCCCTGTACACAATCATACAAATTCACAATATTTACAATTTCAACACAATAAAAACATACAATATTTACAAGCAATTTAAGAAAAGTAAATTACAAAACATGATCCTGAAAAACAAACACATTCCTCAGTAAAAAAGTAATCAACCAACCATCTGAACTGCCCTAGCGGCACCAAAACATCCAACTTTATAGAATTCTGGAGATCATTCCACAAGTAAGGTGCAAAATAAACTAAACGCAGATCTACCTAACTCAATGGAGACCAAAAGGATCTCCAGAGTTGGCCATTCCTGTGATCTGGTCTGGTGACTCGTATGTCTGTAATTTAACAATGAAGTAAGGTATAGCAGAAGTTTGCTCAAGAGGGCTTTATAAACAAAAAGAGAGCAGTGCATTGATCTACAAGATTTAAGAGAATGCATACAGAATGCAGTGTACTGAACCTATCGCTGGTAATAAAGTGTTGTGCACTATAATAAACTGTGTCCAATGGCTTCAATACAGTGGCAGCTGCATTCATATAGACGATATCACCACAGTCTAAAGCCGAAATGAATGTCGACAGAATTATTTGTTTTCTGCTATTTAATGAAAGGCATGCTCTATGCCTATAAAGGAAGCCCATTTTAATTCTTAACTTAACTAACTCATCAAAATGCTTTTTGAAAGGTATCTGGATTGATGAAATGCTATTTATAAGAAGGGGCATGATCAATGTGGGCACCATCCAATGAACATATGCATAAATCATCAGATACATTTTCAGGCTTTTTGGAAATAAATAACATATACTTATTTTTACCTGCATTAAGTACCCATTTCAGTTCAACAAAGGCTTTCTGCAAAGCAAAAAATATAGATTGTAGTTCTGAAAGTGCCTTGTCAACAGAAGAGGCAACAATACACAACAGTATCGTACGCATACAAGTGGAAGTTACAATTTCTTACAGACAAATCAATATTGTTTTATATAAATAGTAAATATTACAGGGCCCAAAATCTACCCTTGGGGACACCTTTAGTAATATTACATTTTTTTTACATTTTTTGTCATTTAGCAGACACTCTTATCCAGAGCGACTTACAGTTAGTGAGTGCATACATTTTTCATACTGGCCCCCCCGTGGGAATCGAACCCACAACCCTGGCGTTGCAAACGCCATGCTCTACCGAGCTACACGGAAACGTGACATAACACCATCAGAAGAAACACATTGTGTCCTGTCTGTCTGGTCGTTTTCAAACCAAATGCAGGCTGCCTAACGCAGGCCAATTTCAGACAGTCTACGAATGAATAATGAATGGTCAACAGTGTCAAAAGCCTTAGACAGGTCTATAAAAAGGGCATTTACCACCAAAGAAGCAGCAGATATAGTGCTGTGACCTAGCCTGAAACCAGACTAATGGACACTTAGAATACATTTTGAAGCCAGAAAAGATCTAAGATGAGTGTTGATTAAAGATTATAAAATGTTCACGAGGCAAGACAGTTTAGAGATCAGGCGATAATTATTCATGTCAGAGGGGTCACTACCTTTTGTGGAGAGGGATCATATGGGCAGCCTTCCAGACCCTAGAGATAGCACCCAAGATAATTACCAGGTTAAAATGTGTCAATGATTCTACAATTAGGGGAGCAGAAAGTTGCAGCAAGAAAGCATCAAGCAAATCAGGGCAATTAACATCCATTTCTGGACTTATCAATTAATGATATGTACCCATTGATCTTGAAGAATATAACTTAAAAATGCCTCATGAATTTAGGTCAACTGTCATACCCCATCAGAACCCAAAATATGAGCTTGTTTTACTCCAGTGTTTGTAAACAAAGCAAATGTAAACGAACACTGTATAGCCCCTTTCCTGCAGTCAAATGACCAAATCGCCCTCTAGTGGCCTCATAGATTGAATGTTATTGATATTTTTCATAATTTCATAATTAATCAACATTATTTTTAAAAAACAACGCCGAAATATGGTGTTTCTATGTCAAACAATTTTGTTATATTTCAGTCTTCTGTGATGTCCAGTGCATTCGGAAAGTATTCAGAACCCTTTACTTTTTCAGTAGTTTGTTACATAACAGCCTTATTCTAAAATGGATTAAATAAATAAAAAATAGCATCAATCTACATACAATACCCCATACAGACAAAGCGAAAACAGGTTTTTAGACATTTTTGCACATTTATTAAAAATTAAACAGAAATACCTTATTTACATAAGTGTTGTGACCCTTTGCTATGAGACTCGAAATTGAGCTCAGGTGCATACTGTTTCCATTGATCATCCTTGAGATGTTTCTAAAACTTGATTGGAGTCCACCTGTGGTAAATTAAATTGATTGGGCATGATTTTGAAAGGCACACACCTGTCGATGTGAAGTCCCACAGTTGACAGTGCATGTAAGAGGAAAAACCAAGCCATGAGGTTGAAGGAATTGTCCGTAGAGCTCCGAGACAGGATTGTGTCGAGGGACAGATCTGGGAAGGGTACCAAAACATTTCTGCAGCATTGAAGGTCCCCAAGAACACAGTGGCCTCCATCATTCTTAAATGGAAGAAGTTTGGAACCACCAAGACTCTTCCTAGAGCTGGCCGCCCGGCCAAACTGAGCAAACGGTGGAAGAAGGGCCTTGGTCAGGGAGGTGACCAAGAACCCGATGGTCACTCTGACAGAGCTCCAGAGTTCCTCTGTGGAGATGGGAGAACCTTCCAGAAGGACAATCATCTCTGCAGCACTCCACCAATCAGGCCTTTATGGTAGAGTGGCCAAACGGAAGCCACTCCTCACAGCCCACTTGGAGTTTGCCAAAAGGCACCTAAAGGACTTTCAGACAATGAGAAACAAGATTCTCTGGTTTGATGAAACCAAGATTGAACTATTTGGCCTGAATGGCAAGCGTCACATCTGGAGGAAACCTGGCACCATCCCTACGGTGAAGCATTGTGGTGGCAGGATCATGCTGTGGGGATGTTTTTCAGCTGCAAGGACTGGGAGACTAGTCAGGATCGAGGGAAAGATGAACGGAGCAAAGTGCAGAAAGATCCTTGATGAAAACCTGCTCCAGAGCACTCAGGACCTCAGACTGGGACGAAGGTTCACCTTCCAACAGGACAATGACCCTAAGCACACAGCCAAGACAACGCAGGAGTGGCTTCGTGGACAAGTCTTTGAATGTCCTTGAGTGGCCCAGCCAGAGCCCGGACTTGAACCTGATCGAACATCTCTGGAGAGACCTGAAAATAGTTGTGCAGCGACGCTCCCCATCCAACCTGACAGAGCTTGAGAGGATCTGCAGAGAAGAATAAGAGAAATTCCCCAAATACAGGTGTGCCAAGCTTGTACGTCATACCGAAGAAGACTCAAGGCTGTAATTGCTGCCAAAGGTGCTTCAACAAAGTACTGAGTAAAAGGTCTGAATACTTATGAAAATTTGATATTTAAGTTTGATATTTATTATACATTTGCAAACATTTCTAAAAACCTGTTTTTGCTTTGTCATTATGGGGTATTGTGTGTAGATTGATGAGGAGAAAAAAACAATTTAATCCATTTTAGAATAAGTCTGTAACGTAACAAAATGTGGAAGAAGTCAAGGGGTCTGAATACTTTCCGAATGCACTGTATATAAAGTGTAACTTTGGGATGCAAACTCTAAATGGAATACATTTCAACTCTATATCTGACATGGTACAGGTGTCTTATTTTCTTTAAGCCCATAACCATGTGTGTGAGGTGTATGCTTTTGTTTCAAAGTAGATTTGTTTAAGACTACCAAGAAACACTCTGTGACCCTGATTCAGCCCACTGCAGTAAAAGGTTAAAAACAAGGTTAAAACTATAATTTTGATATCATGGATGGTCAGTCCTTGCATCCATAGCGGTCTTTAAATTTGAGAGTTGTTACATTTCTCCAGCCTTATCCCCCCCACTTTTTACTGAAACAGTGGTGGAGAGAACTCTTTGTTACTGTTTTACCTGCTGATTGCCACTAAGCAGGGTGTCTAGCACATCACAAGTAGAGAGGGGTTGAAATTAAAACAAATATTCACTAAAAGTTGAAGTTAGAAAGTATGTTTTGTACAGTGCAGGTTCAAGTGAACTGTCTAAATCATGTGTGCACATTTACTCTCTCTGTGCATGTGTGTGTGCGCGCACATGAACGTGCATGTGTGTTTCAGTTTGGATTTAGGAAGTGGAAGAGTCATGTGACGGAGCGTCCCTTTGAGGACAGGTCAGATGTGGTCAAGGAGCTCTACTCAGAGCTCAACATCATCAAACCACACACCGGTGAGTGTATGTATTTGTGCTTGTACTTCTAAGGAGGAAAAGTAGTCAACTGTATAGACGTCACTGATCCTCAGTACAAATCCTGAAGTCCTCAATCATGGCTTGCTGTGTATAGGACTTCATGGCATCATCACTAATTTCTCTGTTGTCTGTGTCTCTATGTGGTGTTAGGTCATCTGATCACCTGTGGGAATGTGGTGTATGTGTTGTTGTTTGGCTGGTGGGTGTCTCTGATCTACCTCCTGGTCAGCATACTGATGTTCATCACCATCATTGGAGTACCATACGGTATGGATATCCATTAGGACTTTTTTCCTTCGGCTGTACTGTGTTATTACAACCATTTTACAGTTTTTACTGAGATGAAACCTTTGTATCTTGTGGAGGGTGGGATTATCACGTACTGCCATCCTAACATATGATTCCTTTAGATATGATTGATTCTCCCTCGCTCTCTCTCCTCGCTCTTTCTCTCTCGATCTGTCTCCCTTTTAGGGAAAATGTGCTGGAAGTTGTCTTGGTATTTCTTATGGCCATTTGGGAAGTCCATACAGGAGGTACAGTAATAAGTGTTGTATCCATCAGATTGCTTCCACTGGAAAATATCTGTTTAGAGGAAGTCAGCTAAAACTGTTAAGACACACATCCTCAGTTTCAGCTCCTGTCTTCACTCTGTCTGTCTGTGGTGGCTGTGTAGTAGAAGTCCATGTTTCCTGTCCCCACCACAAGCCATTCACCTCATAACACCCACTTAATCTGACTGGTCGTTAAAGGCAAATGTCCACAACAATCATGTAGACTTAAAGGTCTATGTTATCGAAGCATGTAACATAGCTAGAATATGCAGTGGGGAGAACAAGTATTTGATACACTGCCAATTTTGCAGGTTTTCCTACTTACAAAGCATGTAGAGGTCTGTAATTTTTATCATAGGTACACTTCAACTGTGAGAGACGGAATCTAAAACAAAAATCCAGAAAATCACATTGTATGATTAAGTAATTAATTTGCATTTTATTGCATGACATAAGTATTTGATACATCAGAAAAGCAGAACTTAATATTTGGTACAGAAACCTTTGTTTGCAATTACAGAGATCATACGTTTCCTGTAGGTCTTGACCAGGTTTGCACACACTGCAGCAGGGAATTTGGCCCACTCCTCCATACAGACCTTCTCCAGATCCTTCAGGTTTCGGGGCTGTCGCTGGGCAATACAGACTTTCAGCTCCCTCCAAAGATTTTCTATTGGGTTCAGGTCTGGAGACTGGCTAGGCCACCCCAGGACCTTGAGATGCTTCTTACGGAGCCACTCCTTAGTTGCCCTGGCTGTGTGTTTCGGGTCGTTGTCATGCTGGAAGACCCAGCCACGACCCATCTTCAATGCTCTTACTGAGGGAAGGAGGTTGTTAGCCAAGATCTCGCGATACATGGCCCCATCCATCCTCCCCTCAATACGGTGCAGTCGTCCTGTCCCCTTTGCAGAAAAGCATCCCCAAAGAATGATCTTTCCACCTCCATGCTTCACGGTTGGGATGGTGTTCTTGAGGTTGTACTCATCCTTCTTCTTCCTCCAAACACGGCGAGTGGAGTTTAGACCAAAAAGCTCTATTTTTGTCTCATCAGACCACATGACCTTCTCCCATTTCTCCTCTGGATCATCCAGATGGTCATTGGCAAACTTCAGACGGGCCTGGACATGCGCTGGCTTGAGCAGGGGGACCTTGCGTGCGCTGCAGGATTTTAATCCATGACGGCGTAGTGTGTTACTAATGGTTTTCTTTGAGACTGTGGTCCCAGCTCTCTTCAGGTCATTGACCAGGTCCTGCCGTGTTGTTCTGGGCTGATCCCTCACCTTCCTCATGATCATTGATGCCCCACAAGGTGAGATCTTGCATGGAGCCCCAGACCGAGGGTGATTGACCGTCATCTTGAATTTAATAATTATAATTGCGCCAACAGTTGTTGCCTTCTCACCAAGCTGCTTGCCTATTGTCCTGTAGCCCATCCCAGCCTTGTACAGGTCTACAATTTTATCCCTGATGTCCTTACACAGCTCTCTGGTCTTGACCATTGTGGAGAGGTTGGAGTCTGATTGAGTGTGTGGACAGGTGTCTTTTATACAGGTAACGAGTTCAAACAGGTGCAGTTAATACAGGTAATGAGTGGATAACAGGAGGGCTTCTTAAAGAAAAACGAACAGGTCTGTGAGAGCTGGAATTCTTACTGGTTGGTAGGTGATCAAATACTTATGTCATGCAATAAAATGCAAATTAATTACTTAAAAATCATACAATGTGATTTTCTGGATTTTTGTTTTAGATTCCGTCTCTCACAGTTGAAGTGTACCTATGATAAAAATGACAGACCTCTACATGCTTTGTAAGTAGGAAAACCTGCAAAATCGGCAGTGTATCAAATACTTGTTCTCCCCACTGTAGCTAGATTGTTGAACATTGTTGAACATGTGATGATTTATAGGGCATAGATTAGACAGACAGACGTTGTCCACAAAGAGAATGAATGTTGCATCTGGGCTAAACTCTCCTGTGTTCCCCCTCTAGTTGGGAGGAGGTGTGGGGAGGTGCTGTGGGAGGTTCCCCCACTGTGAGGCCATCCCAGAGGATGTGGAGGACAACGAGGACGCTTCTCCCATCCTCCTGCCATCTCCCACTGAGGAGCCCATCCCAGACCTGCTACAGGGGCCACTGCAGCACAAGCCCTACTGGGTAAGAGTGTGTGGATGAATCCAAAAGGTTTTATAGTGTGATTTGGGGGTTTATATACATTTGCGGACAAATATATTGACACCCTTGCACTTTTCTTAAATAATTACCAATTTCTTCCAAAATAAAACAAACTTTTGGTCACCACCCCTTGTTATTGGATTTTCAACATTGCAGAACCAATTTTATTTTCGTAAACTTAAGTTTACACATTTAATTTAGAAAATAACGACAAATGGCATGGACAATATTATTGGCAGTCCAGAGCTAGTACTTGGTTGCACAGCCTTTGGCCAAGATAACTGCAGACCAACGCTTCTTGTAGCCGTCGATGAGCTTGCTGTACCTTTCTACTAACCTTTGATGTTTATTTACTTTTTCTTTACGCACACATTTTTGTGGTCACCTTCTCTTCACATTTCTCACTGTCAATCGTGAATGATCATTTTTCAAGTTTTACTGGTGAAACGTCCATGCAGCACCTGCATACAGTAGCATAGCCTACCTGTGCTTAGTTTCAATCAAAGCACATATTTTGCCTATTGGCACACACTGTTGAGTTTTGGCGACATGAGGAAAATTCGACCCTTCGCACAATCATCCTAAAATCTCATAAGAATTGAGGTGGTGTTTTTTGTCTTAGAGTAACTTTATACTATGCTATTATATTCGGTTCTGTTATGTAGAATACTATCATTATGTGATATTGCAGACATTGATTCAGCTTTGATCTAACTTTATTAAACGAGCACCATTTCCCAGAGTAGCCTGTTATCTACGAGTAGAGCAGAGACTGTGCGTAAAGTAGAGTATCCTGCACATGCGCAGAAGTTTCAAGTCTTAGCTGTCGGGAAGAGGGGTCCAGAAAAGTCAGATCCGCAGCCACTCCGTATAATTTATACCTATTATCTGTCTCCTCTATCCTGTGTAGCATCGTGTGAGCACATATGTGTGGCTGCTGTTGGGATATCCTTTGCTGGCTGTGGTTCACTTCCTGGCCTGCCTGCTCTCCTGGCTGCTGGTGTTCACCATTCCCGTGGCCAAGATGAACGCCCGGACCCTGGCCTCCATCCTCCTCATGCCCCCCGAGAACCTCTCTATCTCCACCTGCTCAAGGAGGAAGGTAGGGGCAGGCAAGGCGGACAGGGCGCTGATCATTTAAGCATTCAAGCTATGCAGGCTTTTGTTCCAACCCTGCTGTAACAAACCTGATTTAGCAAATCTAAGGCCTTGGTGAGCAGCTGATAAAATGAATCATATTTTCTAGATTAGGGCTCAGTAAAGAAGCCATGTATTATTACTAACTGTAATACCCTGTATGACTTCCAGCCTCAAGGTTGTGAGACTCGAGCGCTGCTGTGCTGCTACCACGCGGTCAACTGGTACTACTACAAATACACTGTGGATGGGATCAATGTGTTCGCTGTCAGTATCCTTTCTCACAAGGCCTATTGTGTTGGGGGAAAAGGACTAGGCTGGGGTTCTTTTTGGACCAGTCATTTGATTTACATTGAGTTTACTTGTTGATTTTCTTAACCCCTTCATCAGACCTCCTTCCCCTGGTGATAGTGTCCCTGGTGATTGGTTATGTAGATAAAGGAAACCAGTTTGCCAGCTCTGAGGTCAAGTTTGCCACAGCAGTCGGCTCCATCATTCCTCTGTCCTACTACATCGGCATGGGCATCGCCAGGTCAGCACAAGCACTCACACACACACAAATACTGTAGGGGAGAGTGGGGTATGTTGAGCCAACCTTGTTGGTCAAATTAACAATTTGACCAAATATTTAGGAAGAGGTCATCAATTCATGGAGTCTGCGAAGGAAGAAACCACATAGAAAAAGTGGTAAACAAGTTAGGTCCAAAAAAACTGATTTTCACCAAGTCAAATGAATTTATTGTGTTAGAGGTTTCATGATGCTTGTATCTAAACCAAAGTAGAGATTGTTCTATACATCAGTTGGGGTCTCTATAAGCTTCAATATGAGGTCCTTAACCTATCATGAAAGTGCATCCTTGTAGCTGTGTGGGCTAATATAGTAAAAATGCTTGCCTTGGGTTAAGTTGAGCCAAAGGCAAGTTGAGCAAGTGTTTTCTTCCCAGGTGTAATGCAAGTCATTACCGCTGGGATATGAGGTAACAACAGGGCCTGGCCTATGTTAAGTGTACAAAAAAGTGTTTGTTAGGTGTTAATGTGTTAAAAGATTCTTAACCCTATCAGTCCCGAGGCCCTGGCAAAAATCGTCTTTTCATTTATCTGACTTTATTTTTGCTGTATGTCCAGCCCTTATATTTAGCCTCACAATGAAGTGTTTTACAATTTTCAGGACATCCAGGGCTACACGTAGAACACAAAACAATTTGACATAAACAGTTGCATTCATGAGTTTTATTGACAATTTACATGAATTTATATGAATGATGTAAGTACAGAAATGATTTGCTCATTGGGAAATGCATATATAACTAGTCAGTGACAACTGTGTGGAGTTTGTGACAGCAACTATGTGAGCTTATTACAGTATTATATGTCCTGGGATTTCCTATGATCTTCTATGTAGAAGAACCCCTTACCTTCGAACGACTTGTGTGTAGCTTGTTTGCGTCATAGAGCAAAACATGTTACCTGTTCGTGAGAGTCTCAGCTTTTCATGGTTAGCGTTTAATAGTTTTTAGCTCAAACCATTCAGACTCTACAGAGGTTTTTGTAAAAAGACCCGGCCCCGGGCCGCTTCGGGATATGTCGTTGTCTCACAAACACCGCTCTAGCTCAGCCCCCGTTAATGGTTGGTATCTACAGATGCAGAAGAAATGGACAAATCCAATGGTACAACCCAGAAGTATGTATGTAGCTTATACACACTATGTTTAAAAGGGTTTAGAAGTCCAAAACTGCGTTACGGTGGGACTCATTGGGTTGCCTCATTGGGTTAAAATGATTCAAAGACAAAAAAGCGATTTTGGTTGTGTTGAATTGTGTTTTGGAAATAAGGATAGACATGGTTTTAAAAAGGCAGTGATAATATTTCATTAAGTACAGAAATGTGCAGGCAGCTTAAGTTACCCCATACCCAGGAAAAGTTGTGCCAAGAGACTACTTTTTTTGGACAAGCTATTTTTTCAAAACTGTAATGTTTACATTAATTCTGATTTATTTCCAGGGATACACAACATCCTGAAATATATGTAGATATCTTTGTTAGAAAGGATACAATATTTCCCTTGACAGAGTGATGCTGAATGAAAAAAATGGCTCAACTTACCCCACTCTGCCCTACATATTCTCATAAACAAACATGCATACGGTACATGTATACTTGAGAAGAGCAAACATGACTAGAATACTCTTATTACCCTTCCTTATTTTAAAGCTGAATAAAAACAATTGGTCACAACAAAGAGTTATATGAACAATGCCCCCTATCCCTTCTGCAGTATCTCTGCCCAGAGTAACTTTGCGGTGGGGGCAGTGGTGAACGCGACCTTTGGCTCCATCACAGAGATGACCTTCTATATCACGGCCCTGCTGAGGGGTCACCGCGCTGGTAATGCCTGTCTGCAGGAGATAGTTAAATCTGCCCTCACCGGCACACTGCTGGGTTGCATCCTCTTCATCCCTGTGAGTCACACACACACACACACACACATAAACACACACACACCTAAACACACACACACTGAAATTTCTCTTTTTCCTTCTTCCTCTCTTTTTTGCTTACTCCTCCCCCCTACCACCCACTCTCTTGCTCACGCTTTCTTCTCTAGGGGATCTGTATGATCATAGGAGGGCTGAGACACAGGGAGCAGAGGTTTAACAGTCGTTCAGCTGGGGTCAGTTCTGCCTTGCTCTTCATCTCTGTGGGAGGTGAGACCAGACCTCCTCACCAACAACCCCTCACTCCGTCCTCACTCCTCACCCTGTACCCAAGACCTTCAACTCTAAACCACAACTCACCTCCTCCAACCCCTCACTCCGTTCTCACCCCGTACCCAAGACCTCAACTCTAAACCTAATCCCCACATATTCTCAAAAAGGTTTTATTCCCCTGGCTCACCCTCTTCTCATCCTGTCTCTGTAGGTGTGTTTGCCCCCACGCTGTTCTCTAAGGCGTATGGGAACCTGGTGTGTGACAACTGCACCAACTCCACGGGGGGCAACGCCACCAGCAACACCAGCGGGCCCTTCGTCTGCCGCAACTGTCACTACGACCTGGTCAGTAACACTTAGTCACGCTCACACACAGCACTGGATACAATCAAACTGTAACACTCTTAATCATCAACGGACACATTGTCAAACTGTAATTTCGCAAAGTAACAGAAACACTCTTCTGTATAGTACTGTAGCAGACAGTCGTCTGGCACTGAATATTTGACCTGACGATATATTTCCGTCTTCCCAACAGAGTGAGAACAACTACACCTTGTTCCACAGCCACATCGAGTGAGTGTTGAGAGAGGTTCTGCTCCAAATTATTCATACTTTTTTGTAACTCAATGATCTGAGAGTGCTGAATATTTTTTTTTTTAAAGAGTATACTTCTGTAAAAGATTTTAATACACATCTTTATCCCCTTGTGTATTTTTGTGTATCTCAGGCCACTGGTGTACACAGTCTCCTTCCTTCTGCCTGTTGCTTACATCATTGGTTTAATCTTCACACTGAAGACACACTCACACATCTACGACATTCACGTTGGCGAGGGACAGGGTAAGGGTAAAATACACACACACACACACACACACACACACACGCACGTACAGTTATAAACTGTATAAGTAACAGCCATCCATAACTCTGTCTGCAGTGGCCGGTCACCATGGTGCAGTTGTCCACTGGTCTCGGTGGAGAGCTCTGGCTATCCTCATCATAGCCACTCTACTGATGTCAGCCTGCGCTGACGTTACCACTGAACACATCCAGCCCATACTGAGTCAGCCCAATATCTCCCAGGTACTGTACACAAACACACACACACACACACAATTGTCTTGTGATCTTGCTCTCCCTATTTCTCCTCTCGACCCTCACTCTCCCTCTCGTTGTTCATCAGTACTTCATAGGAGTGACGGTGCTGGCCATGGTACCTGAGATCCCAGAGATTGTCAACGGGATCCAGTTTGCCCTTCAGAACAACATCAGTCTGAGGTGGGTCCTCACTAAAAGAGGTCTCAAACAGTTGTGATGCTAGTGCCCTGAGTTTTTCCTAACCACATGGTCTGACCAGGGAAAAACTGCAAATGGTGACTGTCATAAGAGTAACCAGTTGGTTAGCAGGAATTCTGACCGAAGCGAGTGTTTGTGACGAGGAGTGACTGACTGCTCCTCTGTTGTTTTGTTTCTCCCAGCCTGGAGGTGGGCAGCTGCATCGCTGTACAGGTCTGCATGCTCCAGATCCCCCTGCTAGTTTTATTCAACGCCTTCTACGTAAGACACTACCCCTTGACTGTACCTATCACTAAATAACTAATCAATAATATAAGTCCAGTTCAGAAAGGAAACACCATGCAGTAGCAGCAAGCTGCAGCAGGATGTGTGAGCAGAACCTGGTCAGCTTAAATGGTGCACCAACTAAGGTAGGCGTGATTGTTACTAAAGTAGCATCTAGTTGGTGCAATCTCAGCTGAGGCGGGCACTCAGATTCCCTTTCTGAATTGGCTTCGCTTAATTTATCATGGATGGATGAAGTTTTTTCATTTGTCAACTCACCCAAAGACCATAGTCATACCATAGGAGACTATAGAAAATAAATATGTAAACAGACAAGTAATTTCCTGTATGTGTTACTACAGGATGTGGGCTTCGTGCTAATATTCTGTGACCTGCACCTGTGGGCCAGCATCTTCAGCGTGGTCCTCGTCAACTACATCTTTATGGATGGCAAATCGGACTACTTCCAGGGTAAGGGGTGACTGGAGGGTTTGCCTCAGAGCGCGCCATCCCAACCTGTATGCCTGACTGTTTCTGCATCAGCCGACATGACATTGCAAACAAGTGTTGTTCAATGCAGAAACTGTCAGGTACACAGACTAGGGTAATACATTAACACGTTGAAATTATCATTGATCAAGTCAAATCATCCTTGTCCATCTGTTGCCTGTCATCATAGGATATTGATTATTTGCGCATGATAGAGAACTCCCCTCTAGTGGATTGTTATTTAGAAAACAAAGTGTGTAATTGGACTGTGTTTTCCTCTCAGGCACTGCTCTGGTAGTGGTTTACCTCATCCTACTGGCATCGTACTTCTTTGCTCCGTCGCCAGCCGGCTGCTGAGAGACTCATCTGCACATCAGCTTGTTACCTTTTACATCAGACTGAGTTACATTCAAGATTATTATACATTTTCTTTTTACATTTCTTAGTTAAGTTACTTATGGAATTTAATATGGTGTGCAGACTGCTAGACAACATTTTGAAATTTCTCTGGACTGCGGTTCCAAAAAAATTCAAACAGTGGGTGAAGCATTTCAGTCTGTCAGGGTGAACGCACCAAATGGTGAGTCGCTCTGGATAAGAGCGTCTGCTAAATGACGTAAATGTGCCCTTGAGCAAGGCACTTAACCCTAATTGCTCCTGTAAGTCGCTCTGGATAAGAGCGTCTGCTAAATGACTAAAATGTAAAAATGTAAACACTATAGTGTCGCTGTAGTGGTGGCAGTAACTCCAGCTAACAACATCTGTACTGGAATCCTCCTGTTGCACTCTACATTTAGTCACTCATTGGTTTCTGTCAAATCGGAATCTACATATTTTCTTAGAACACTTTGCTTATCTGAATTGACTGGTTTTACGCACCAACCAAACGTTAGAGTACTGTACTCCCACAAGTACACCCTTTGCCGTTTCATATTATTATTGTTGCATTTAAAACCATCACTGAGAATAGAAGCTATGCAAACTGGAGGACAACATTCAACTGTCAAAGAGCTTTGATTAATCGGTGTAAGGTTTGGTAAACTTCACACTGGACCTCGCTCCCCGGCATTGGTTTGTTTTTGTTTTTGTACTTGTTTGAAAACCACTTGGGTGTTTTCACCAGCGTCTGTAAAGAAGGTATTTTTGTACATTTTAAAAGTGTTCATAAAGTCGAGCTTATTTTGTCAATTAATTCAAAGGAATAAATACATTTAATAGCCAAATGTGTGGGTGTTTAACGAGCCACAGTTGATTTGATAAATCATTCTGAAAGACCTTAAGGATTTGAAAATGCCACTAAAGGGCCTATCCAGACTTCAAGATCACTATGGTTAAGGGAACCTTTTTGAAATGTCAGCCACTTCACTTGCCAAAGTATGTCATCCACCTGACCCAATCATGACAATCATCCAAGTTGGACTTTTTCCTGCATTAAATTATTTTTTGCAATCAGATTAGATTAAAAGCGTTCTGAAAACTATACTGAACAAAAAAAAGATGCAACAATTAACAATTTTACTGAGTTACAGTTCATATAAGGAAATATGATCATTAGGCCCTAATCTATGGATTTAACATGACTGGGCAGGGGTGCAGCCATGGGTGGGCATTGGTCAGGCCCAGCCACTCCAATTGAGTTTTTCCCCACAAAAGGACTTTATTATTACAGACAGAAATACTCCTTAATTTCATCAGCTGTCCGGGTGGCTGGTCTCAGACGATCCCGCAGGTGAAGAAGACGGATGTGGAAGTCCTGGGCTGACATGGTTACACATGGACTGTGGTTGTGAGGCCGGTTGGATGTACTGCCAAATTCTCTAAAAATGACATTGGATGCGGCTTATGGTAGAGAAATTAACATTCAATTCTCTGGCAACAGCTCTGGTGGACATTCCTGCAGTCAGCATGCCAATTGCACACTCCCTCAAAACTTGAGACATCTGTGGCATTGTGTTGTGAGTGGCCTTATACTGTCCCCAGCACAAGGTGCACCTGTGTAATGATCATGCCGTTCAATCAACTTCTTGATACGCCACACCTGTCAGGTGGATGATTATCTTGGCAAAGGAGAAATGCTCACTAACAGGAATGTACCAAATGAGAGAAATAAGCTTTTTGTGCATATGGAACATTTCTGGGATCTTTTATTTCAGCTCATGAAACATGGGACCAACACTTCACATTTTTGTTCAGTATAATACAATGCCGAAAGGGAGTCAGTTAAATCATAGATACATAGTACCTGGATTTTCAGGCCAAATAATACACCCGTCAAACAAGGTTAAAAAAAGTGCTTACAGTACATTTATTGATTCAAACAATTACATTACAAAACCTCATGACAGCTTAATCACGATTGCCTTTAATTGTGCAGAGTCAGGTTCAGTTTCTCCATCCACATTCATTACAGCATGTGTAAAGTGACTTAATTCACAGGTTGACATGCAGAGTTCCAAAATCTATTACTTCCATAGATTTCCAACAAAACAATCCAGACCAGTGGGTGCAGTGTTTCATACAGAACCCCACAGTTTCCCAAAACGTATAATTATAGCAAAGGCACATTTCCCAAACCAACCCTTAGCCACACCCCTTGACACTTCTCGTGATCCTAAAAGATTTGAGTGGGTGTAAGAAACATGGAAGCCAAAGCTAGTCTTCCAGATCTACAAGAAGTAGCCAGGGGCTAGAGGATTGGCCTGGATTTCAGACAGCACCAGTGTTCTGTGCAGAAACTATAGGATAAAAGAGAACCAGAGGTGACACGTGAGTTACATTCTAACTGACAGGGAACATGAGTGTGGGATATTAAATAAAGAGATTAAACCCAACATTGTTGAAAAGTGAAAAGGCAGAGTAGTGTTTTCATTGGTTTTTGCACCAGATAAATCTTCAGTTTGGTTTGTTAAAATGACCTGATGACACTGGTGAACATCTTTAAAAGCAAAAAATTGATTTTTGTTTAAAAAAATTACAGTGCCCAAATGCAGAAACCCAATATGGCGACCGGAGTATGGGCGTGTCAAAAGCAAAGTAGTGGGCGTGTTAAAAGGAAATTAGTGATCTGCTATCGGTTACACCAGAGTTCCTTGGGGACCCCCAAGGGGTGCACGTTTCAGTTTTTGCCCTAGCACTACACAGCAGATTCAAATAAATCAACGCCTGATGAGTTGGTTATTTGTATCAGCCGTGTAGTGCTAGGGCAATACAACACCGGGTGCACTAGTCATTCGCTCCGGCATAAACTTGTCGTGTAGCCCAATCTGACATACAAAACGTCTTGAGTGGCAACAAATCTGCCCAATTAGCCGATTCGCTTACCATACACCCACTCCTTTCGACACACCCACACTCCGGTCACCATATTGGGCTGCACCATACTTGTCCAAATTAGTCTATAAAAATAGATTTAAAAAGTCTGTCCAACCAAATTCACAAGTTAAGGCTTCACTGTGCGTGATAGACACTCAAGGAGACCTGTGATGGACAGAATGGTTTGACCAAAAGGTCAGTAAACAATGTGGAAGGAGGATAACATTAAAAGATGAGCTAGTCAATGGCTCATATTAGTAAAGCATGGGGAACATAGAGACTGGTGGAGGCTATATGGACATTTCCATATTTTCAGGGACAAAAAAGCATGGTAAAAAGGAGAGAACTCTGTACAACCAATAGTTCAAAATAATCTGAAAAGGCACTAAATGAAATAAAATGGCATGCTCTTGGTTTAACTTTGGAGCTACAGTACAGTTTCACACAGCTCCCTCTGTGTGTGTGATCAGTGCGTCTAAGACTGGAAGTTGTAAGACTCGTACAAAGGCTCTAGAGAATCACAGTGATGTCACAGAGGGTTCACGTAGTCACACTGGCTCAAGAGGTGAACTATACAGATCAAGATTTGCCCTGCCTGTCCTAAATCAATGCCTTGCCCCACCAGCGTGCTAAATGAGACCTATTAGTATTAGACCTGTCAGTGGACATAGCAGCAGCTGTCTGTATGTGTTGTAGATGTTTCTTTACCAGTGGGCTTCCTTACAGAAAACAATAAGACACCATGTCTATTGGCATCATGTACCCGGTTGGTCTCCCTCAGCATCCTATACATCACAGTAACAGAGACAAAAAACTTAAACGACCCTTTAGCCATTAAGGAAACAAACCACCACTTGATTTTAAGTTTCCGCTATTTCCCTTTTGAACAGCATGTGTGTGGTGGGTGTGCACGTGTATACATCCCTGTAAAGAGTGTGTGTGTGTGTGTGTGTGTGTGTGTGTGGGGGGGGAATTAATAAGTACAGTTAAGGGCTCTCCACAGTGGTTTCACAGTCTACTCAAACGAAGCTCCAAAAATACATAGAACTACGTAGAGCGCTACGCAAACTAACCTCCATCGGCTCCTTTGCGTAGACTGTAAAGCCCTTTGGAGTGCCTTGAAACACTACTGAAGATAATGGGTATGATGAATGTTGTCAGCTGCATGCAAACATGCAGTTGTCCTCTGTAGCTCAATTGGTAGAGCATGGCGCTTGTAATGCCAGGGTAGTGGGTTCGATCCCCGGGACCACCCATACGTAAAGATGTATGCGCACATGACTAAGTCACTTTGGATAAAAGCGTCTGCTAAATGGCATATTATTATTAAACATATAAAAGGATGAAATAAGCAGCATTCAGTGAACTCCAATTCCTACTAAATCTCCACTGTCTCCTAGTCAAGCCATGGCTGCTGAAATATGAAGGCAAACCCACCCTGAAATACACCAGGTCCCAGGGACTCAACACAAATGTCAAACATTCCACTTGGGATTTCAAACTCAGTCAAAGTGCACACATTAAAAACATCCACAAAAAAAAATAGGCATCCAATATTTTTGTTTTTGAGGATGACCTGACGTTATGTCCACAATGTACATCAGTTCCCTCAGTCCATTCCCAGACATGCCAACACACCTCTGCATTGTTCCGTTGGCCTTTCAGTCGCTCTGCTCATTGGTGGCAGGAAGTCAACTCAGTTCCATCCACAATCCATTGCCCTTCACCGCTGTCCTTGCTTTGACCTTTTCCCACGTCAGCCATGGTGGTCTACTTGAGGCGCTGGATGAGGGTGTGTGTGAGGCCCAGGCTGAGTAGCTGCAGGGAGGAGAGCTGGGCCAGGCGAGGGAAGGCCTTGAGCAGCCTCTCCCAGGTCAGTTCCAGCAGGCTGGGCACCACCAGCCACACCTTGTACAGAGACCCAGTCCTCCTGTTCTCTGACATGTTCACCACCCCACCATGCACATACATACAGCCAGCCTGGGAGAGGAGAGAGAGATCCAAGATGGCGTAGCAGTGCGGTCATGTTCTTTGTTGTGTGTCCGTGTAAATAGCCTGTTTTTTGTATTTTTCGTACATATTTCCCCATCACACTTTTCATCCTTCTACTAAATATACTTTCCTGCAACCCGCCTCACTCAATGTGGAACGGATTCTATTATTTACTCACCTTTATCTAGAATCTCCAGTTGAAACTAGCTAGCCAGCTAACTAGCTACTTGCTATTAGCCACCGTTAGCGGTTTTCACCCAGAACATCGGATTTTCTGCCGGAATAACTGAATCACTGGACACTAACACCAGATCGCAACTAGCTAGCCGCAACCGAATGGATGTTGCTGTAGGCTAATCACCACTACCCCCGAAGCAAGCACCAGTTAGCCTTGAGCTAGCCTCGAGCCAGGCCCATATCCCGGCTATCTACCACTCTGTCTACCGGACGGGAGTAGCCAGCTAACTAGCTACTTGCTATTAGCCACCGTTAGCGGTTTTTCACCATTGTCTGTGGCCTGCACTACCTACCAGCCAGCTCTAGCCTGGACTATTATCGGCCAGTCTGCACAGCGCGTTATCGACCCAGAACATATCGGATTTTCAGCCTGAATCACTAAATCGCTGGACCTTTAACACCGGATCATCGCAACTAGCTAGCTGCAACCAAATGGATGTTGTTGTTGGCTAATCAGCCTTGAGCTATCCTCGAGTCAGGCACATCTCCCAGCTATCTACCTCTCTGTCAACCGGACAGGACCTCCTAGAGTCGACACGGAGCCCCGCCGATCCATCACGACTGGTCTGCCGACGTAATAGTCTGTGGTTTCAACAGGCTTCCCGTTACGACGACCACAAAGCTCCATCTGCTAGCCCCGGCCCGCTAGCACACGCAAACAACAGCCGTGCTTCCTGCTCGCTGTGCTGTAGCACCAATTCGAACTGCTCTCGGACTCACATATTGCTGTTCACTGGACCTTATGATCACTCAGCTGCACAGCTGATGCCTGCTGGACTGTTCCTTTACACGGTACCCTGTCCTGTTTATCTGTTTAGCCTCAGTCCAAACTTTCATCGCCATTACCAGTTGTTGTCTTCGCTCTCTCTAATAACACCTGTGATTGCTTTATTCTTCTCTCCCATGTCAATATGCCTTGCCTATTGCTGTTCCAGTTAGTTCTTATTATACAATTTCACTGTAGAACCCCAAGTCCCTCTCAAACTGCCTCTAATAGCTCCTTTGTTCCACCCCCCATACATGCCGAGACCGGCTCAATCGGTGCCTCCAGTGATGCTCTCTATTTCATTGTTACCCAACGCTTAGGTTTACCTCCACTGTACTCATATCCTTCCATATCCTTGTCTGTACATAATGCCCTGAATCTATTCTACAACGCCCGGAAATCTGCCCCCTTTATTCTCTGTACCCAACGCACTAGAAGACCAGTTCTTAAAGCCTTTAGCCGTATCCTTATTCTAGTCCTCCTCTGTTCCTCTGGTGATGTAGAGGCTAACCCAGACCCTGCAGCACCCAGTATCATTCCTACTCCCCAGGAGCTATCATGTGTTGACTTCTGTAACCGTAAAAGCCTTGGTTTTCTGCACGTTAACATCAGAAGCCTCCTTCCTAAATTTGAGTTATTCACTTCCTTAGCACACTCCGCCAACCCTGATGTTCTAGCAGTGTCTGAATCCTGGCTTAGGAAGGCCACCAAACATTCAGAAATGTCCATCCCCAACTACAACATTTTCCGTCTAGATAGAACTGCCAAAGGGGGTGGAGTTGCAATCTACTGTAGAGATAGCCTGCAGAGCTCTATCATACTATCCAGGTCTGTGCCCAAACAGTTTGAGCTCCTACTTCTAAAAATCCACCTTTCCAGAAATAAGTCTCTCACTGTTGCCGCTTGCTACAGACCCCCCTCAGCCCCCAGCTGTGCCCTGGACACCATATGTGAATTGATTGCCCTCCATCTATCCTCAGAGTTCATACTGCTTGGTGACCTAAACTGGGATATGCTTAACACCCCGGCCATCCTACAATCCAAACGAGATGCCCTCAATCTCACACAAATTATCAAGGAACCTACCAGGTACAATCCTAAATCCATAAACATGGGCACCCTCATAGATATCATCCTGACTAACTTACCCTCTAAATACACCTCAGCTGTCTTCAACCAGGATCTCAGCGATCACTGCCTTATTGCCTGCGTCCGTAACGGGTCCGCGGTCAAACGACCACCCCTCATCACTGTCAAACGCTCCCTAAAACACTTTAGCGAGCAGGCCTTCCTAATTGACCTGGCCCAGGTATCCTGGATGGATATCGATCTCATTCCGTCAGTAGAGGATGCCTGGTTGTTCTTTAAAAGTGCTTTCCACTCAATCTTAAATAAGCATGGCCCATTCAAAAAATTCAGAACTAAGAACAGATATAGCCCCTGGTTCTCCTCAGACTTGACTGCCCTTGACCAGCACAAAAACATCATGTGGTGTACTGCATTAGCAACGTTTCAGGGAAGTTAGGAACCAATATACACAAGCAGTTAGGAAAGCAAAGGCTAGCTTTTTCAAACAGAAATGCATGCTCTTCAATCGAACGCTGCTGGCACCCGCCCACCCGACTAGAATCACTACTCTCGACGGGTCTGACCTAGGGTATGTGGACAACTACAAATACCTAGGTGTCTGGTTAGACTGTAAACTCTCCTTCCAGACTCACATTAAGCATCTCCAATCCAAAGTTAAATCTAGAATCAGCTTCCTATTTAGCAACAAAGCCTCCTTCACTCATGCTGCCAAACATGCCCTCGTAAAACTGACTATCCTACCGATCCTTGACTTCGGCGATGTCATTTACAAAATAGCCTCCAACACTCTGCTCAGCAAATTGGATGTAGTCTATCACAGTGCCATCCGTTTTGTCACCAAAGCCCCATATACTACCCACCACTGTGATCTGTACGCTCTTGTTGGCTGGTCCTCACTACATATTCGTCGCCAAACCCACTGGCTCCAGGCCATCTATAAATCACTGCTAGGCAAATCTCTGCCTTATCTTAGCTCATTGGTCACCATAGCAACACCCAACCGTAGAATGCGCTCCAGCAGGTATATCTCACTGGTCATCCCCAAAGCCAACACCTCCTTTGGCCGCCATTCCTTCCGGTTCTCTGCTGCCAATGACTGGAACGAACTGCAAAAATCTCTGAAGCTGGAGACTCTTACCTCCCTCACTAACTTTAAGCATCAGTTGTCAGAGCACCTTACCGATCACTGCACCTGTACACAGCCCTTCTGAAATTAGCCCACTCAACTTCCTCATCCCCATATTGTTATTTATTTTGCTCATTTGCACCCCAGTATCTCCATTTGCACATCTATCATTCCAGTGTTAATACTAATTGTAATTATTTTGCACTATGGCCTATTTATTGCCTTACCTCCATAACTTGCTACATTTAATCGCACTGCTTTGCTTTATCTTGGCCAGGTCGCAGTTGTAAATGAGAACTTGTTCTCAACTGGCTTACCTGGTTAAATAAAGGTGAAATAAAAATTAAAAAAATAAAGAGATGTGATTGAAAATCGTACATCCAGAAAAGTGTGTGTGTGTTGTACTGACCGGTGTGACGGCAGCACAGTGGAAGTAAGCAGGCTCAGGCATGATCGTGGGTAGCTTGGTCCACTGGAAGGTCTGCAGGTTGATCTTCCACAGGTCAGCTAGGATCAGCTCCCCGTTGTAACCCCCACATAGAAACACCTCTGGGGGAGAGAGAAAGAGGGATGAACACTGACTCCCAGTCCATAGCCTAGGTATGTTATTGGTAACTTTCAAAGTTTACTAGTAAACTACCAGAACTTTGGTAATTTAAGGATTTTATCACATGGGTACTTCAGATTATCACAGGTTTATATAATTATCTCTGGCCCTCTGTGTGGCCTTATCACATGTAAAATACACTGAGTGTACAAAACATTAAGGACATCTGCTCCATCATGACAGACTGACCAGGTGAAAGCTATGATCCCTTATTGATGTTACTTGTTGATCCACTTCAAATCAGTGTAGATGAAGAGGAGACAGGTTAAAGAAGGATGTTTAAGCCTTGAGACATGGATTGTGTATGTGCCATTCAGAGGGTGAATGGGCAAGACAAAAGATTGAAGTGCCTTTGAACAGGTTATGGTAGTAGGTGTCAGGTGCACCAGTTTGTGTGAAGAACTGCAACACTGCTGGGTTTTTCACACTCAAGTTTCCAGTGTGTATGTATCAAGAATGGCCCACCACCCAAAGGACATCCAGTCAACTTGACAACTGTGGGAAGCATTGCAGTCAACATGGGCCAGCATTCTTGTGGAACGCTTGACACCTTGTAGAGTCCATGCCCCGATGAATAGAGGCTGTTCTGAGAGCAAAAGGGGAGGGGGGGTTGCAACTCAATATTAGGAAGGTGTTCATAATGTTTGGTATACTCAGTGTATATCAAATAAGAGGATTTTATTTTTATAGAATGACAAAGCTGTAAAACATTCTAAATATAAACCATCAACTTAGTGAATACCATTGGTGTTTAATATGAGGGTTTGATTTGATGCTTTTTTCCCCATTAGCCTATTTTCTTGTGAACCATGGTCTATCCACTAGAAACTAATGCACAATATATACTATATCGTGCCTTTAGGAAGTATTCATACCCCTTGACTTAGACATTTTGTTGTGGCACAGCCTGAATTCAAAATGGATTAAATAGATTCTCACCCATCTACACACACACACTACCCCATAATGACAACGTGAAAACATGTTTTTAGAAATGTTTACAAATGTATTAAATTAAGAAACATCATTTAGTATTCACACCCAAGTCAATACATGTTAGAATCATCTGGGTAAGTCTAAGCGCTTTACACACCTGGACTGTGAAATATTTGCACATTCTTTTTTAAATTCTTCAAGCTATGTCAAGTTGGTTGTTGATCATTGCCAGACAGCAATTGTCAAGTCTTGCCATAGATTTCCAAACAATTTCAGTAAAAAGTCTAACTAGGCCACTTAGGAACATTCAATGTCGTCTTGGTAAGCAACTACATTTGGCCTTATGTTTTAGGTTACTGTCCTGCTGAAAGCTGAATTTGTCTCCCAGTGTCTGTTGGAAAGCAGAGAAACAGGTTGTCCTCCACGATTTTGCATGTGCTTAGCGCTATTGCGTTTATTTTAATCCAAAAAAAACACTCTTGTCCTTGCCGATGACAAGCATACCTATAACATGATGCAGCCACCACCATGCTTGAAAATATGAAGAGTGGTACTCAGTGGTGTTGTGTTTTTTATTCTGCACAGGCTTCCTTCTTTTCACTCTGTCATTTAGGTAAGTATTGTGGAGTAACTACAACGTTGTTGATCCATCCTCAGTTACCTCCCATCACAGCCATTAAACTAACTGTTTTAAAGTCACCATTGGCCTCATGGTGAAATCCCTGAGCAGTTTCCTTCCTCTCCAGCAACTGAGTTAGGAAGGACGCCTGTATCTTTGTAGAGACAGGGTGTATTGATACATCATCCAAAGTGTAATAACTTCACCATGCTCAAAAGGATTTCAATGTCTGCTTTTAATTTTTTAAATAATAATAATAATAATAATAATAATAATCTACCAATAGGTGCCGTTCTTTGCGAGGCACTGGAAAACCTCCCTGGTCTTGTGGTTGAATCTGTGTTTGAAATTCATTGCTCGACTGAGGGACCTTACAGATATATGCACGTATGGGGTAGTCATTCAAAAATCATGTTACACACTATTATTGCACACAGCGTGAGTGCAACCTATTATGTGATTTACTAAGCACATTTTCACACCTGAACTTATTTAGGCTTTCCATAACAAAGGAGTTGAATACTTATTGACTAAAGACATTTCAGCTTTTCATTGTTAATTAATTTGTAAAATTTCTAAACACGAAATTCCACTTTGATATTATGGGGTATGGTGTAGGCCAGTGACAATTTAATGGGTCATGGCTGTAACAACAAAATGTGGAAAAAGGTCAAGGGGTGGGAATAGTTTCTCAAGGCACTGTGTATATATATATATACACACACACACACACACTTTTATTTTTTTATGATTGTAAAAAGATTTGCAAGTTATTCAAGTCTCAATTACCAAAGTTACCATAAATTACCTGTTATTTACCAATATTACTGAAAATTCTGGTAACCCTAGCCTGGACACACACAGAGCTGATTCCTATTAAAACAGATGTAAAGTTCTTACCCTGCCTGACCTGGACACAACTGTGACACCGTCGTGCTGCAGGATACCCTGACAACGACAACAGGACACGCATCAGTTTACTGATCTGTGTACGCGTGCACAGTAATGTGTATACGAAAAACATAGACCCTTATGCAACCAACCTATTTTTTCATGAGGTTTAGTGATGATCTCCTCCCAGGAGTTAGTCTCTAAGTTGTAGGCGTGTATCTGAGGGGGGAACAGAACGTAAATCCCCATGTTAAAAGTATGTCAGTAAAACAACCATCATACATACAGCGTTCCATCCTCCTGTACTGTACTTTGTCTAGAGGATATGATGTCCAGGAAGTCCCGCCTCCTAGGATGTATATTCTCTGTCCATCATGGGCTACCTCATGTCTGTACCTGAAAGAGGGAGAAAGAGAGGGATTAAGATGTGTGTGTGTGTGTGTGTGTAACTAGATGATGAGGTATAGGGGGTGACTGACCTCTCCTCAGGCAGGTCTGTAGGGGGGTTGTTGGGCTTGAGGTGGGTCCACTCCCTGGTAGTCAGGTCCAGCCTGTGTAGGTCTGTGCTGTAAACGTAGCCTGTCGTCCCTCCAAACACATACAGATAGCCATTAATGATGGCCATGGCCTGGAAGGAGGGAGGTATGAGAGGGAGAGAGAACATGGTTGTGAGGGGAGTTTCCTAACTGTCAAGCCAAGGGATTCAGAATTAGGCGATTCGTTATAGTAGGTTAGACTAACAAAGTAAATAATTATGTCAGTTATTTACTTTGACCGAGCCAATCTTTTCAGATCAGAGGTCAGGAAAGAGACAGGGAAAGGAAGTCATATACAGTGCATTCGGAAAGTATTCAGACCCCTTAACTTTTTCCACATTTTGTTACGTTACAGCCTTATTCTAAAATGGATTAAATAAATACAAATCCTCAATCTACACACAATACCCCATAATGACAAAGCGAAATTTTTTACACATTTATTAAAATAAAAACAGAAATATCTTATTTACATAAGTATTCAGACCCTTTGCTATGAGACTCGAAATTGAGCTCAGGTGCATCCTGTTTCCATTGATCATCCTTGAGATGCTTCTACAACTTCATTGGAGTCCACCTGTGGTAAATTCAATTGATTGGACTGGATTTGGAAAGGCACACCTGTCTATATAAAAGGTCCCATAGTTGACAGTGCATGTCAGATCAAAAACCAAGCCATGAGGTCAAAGGAATTGTCCTTAGAGCCTCTGAGATAGGATTGTGTCGAGGCACAGATCTGGGGAAGGGTACCCAAAAAAAAATTCTGCAGCATTGAAGGTACAAAGAACACAGTGGCCTCCATCATTCTTAAATGGAAGAAGTTTGGAACCACCAAGACTCTTCCTAGAGCTGGCTGCCCGGCCAAACTGAGCAATCGGGGGAACAGGGCCTTGGTTAGGGACCAAGAACCTGATGGTCACTCTGACAGAGCTCCAGAGTTCCTCTGTGGAGATGGGAGAACTTTCCAGAAGGACAAGCATCTCTGCAGCACTCCACCAATCAGGCCTTTATGGTAGAGTGGCCAGACGGAAGCCACTCCTCAGTAAAAAGGCACATGAAAGTCCTCTTGGAGTTTAACAAAAGGTACCTAAAGACTCCCAGACCATGAGAAGCAAGATTGAACTCTTTGTTCTGAATGCCAAGCGTCACGTCTGGAGGAAACATGGCACCATCCCTACAGTGAAGCATGTTGGTGGCAGCATCATGCTGTGGTGATGTTTTTCAGCGGCAAGGACTGGGAGACTAGTCAGGATCGAGGCAAAGTACAGAGAGATCCTTGATGAAGACCTGCTCCAGAGTGCTCAGGACCTCAGACTGGGGTGAAGGTTCACCTTCCAACAGGACAACAACCCTAAGCACACAGCCAAGACAACGCAGGAGTGGCTTCGGGACAAGTCTCTGAATGTCCTTGAGTAGCCCAGCAAGAGCCCGGACTTGAACCCGATCTAACATCTCTGGAGAGACCTGAAAATAGCTGTGCAGCGACACTCCCCATCCAACCTGACAGAGCTTGAGAGGATCTGCAGAGGAGAATGAGAGACACTCCCCAAATACAGGTGTGCCAAGCTTTTAGCGTTATACCAAAGAAGACTTGAGGCTGTAATCGCTGCCAAAGGTGCTTCAACAAAGTACAGAATAAAGGGTCTGAATACTTATGTAAATGTAATATTTCCATTTTGTATTTTTTATAAAATTTGCTAAAATTTATACAAACCTGTTTTTGCTTTGTCATTATGGGGTATTGTGTGTAGATTGATGAGGGGGAAAAAACAATTTGATCAATTTTAGAATAAGGCAACAAAATGTGGAAAAAGTCAAGGTGTCTGAATACTTTCTGAATGCACTGTAGGAGTATTGGAAGATGCCATAGCCCAGGTTTGAAGCTAACCGCTAACTCTCCACAGACCACACCATGTGTCAGTGGGACAGCTCAGGTGGTGAGAGCAGATAAGAGCTCTTTACCTGCCCGTAGATTCGGTTGGGTTTCTTCCCTCTGCAGTGGAGCAGTTTCCAGCGTTTGTAGTGAACGTTGCAGACATGGACGTCATTCCCGTTGCTTTCTCCAAAAGGAATCCCAGTGCCCCCAAACACCAATAGATTGTTGCCGTGTAAGACAGCTGAGACACACAGAGACAAACACAAAACAAACTGTCCAACTGTCTGTTCTTAGTCTAACCAGGAACGGATAATAATGGTTAAGCAAGTTAATTTTGCAATGGATGGGTACATAAAGGACAGATCATCTTCAACTCTTCCCCTTACCAGACATGGAGGCCAGCTCGGTGGGCATGTAGCCCTCTGTGTGGACCTGTTGCCAGGTAGCCGTGGCAAAGTGGAACCTCCACAGCTCCCTGAATAGAGGGTAATCCTCGTTCTCCGAGCCACCTGCCTCCTCAAAGTCAGGGTTGTACCCTCCAAACACATACAGGTTGGCACTGTCTGCCACACACCGGTGTCCGCTGCGGGCCGGGGGGGCACAGTGACCTGAGGGGGGAGGTGAGTAAAGAGCGGGGTTACATGGATGGAAGAGGGAGCAAGGGTGGGGGAAGGAGGGGACTTTTCCCCCCCCTTCCTCTTGCACTCCTTTACTGCCCTTTGTGGATCTGAGATAACTTTGTAAGCAATAGCGCCACCTAGTTTCTTTCTGCCATATTGTTTTCACCTATTTAGTCCAGCCAGATTCATGAGGGGGAGTGAGGGCAGGAACAACAGAGCGGAAGGGACCATTATTTGGAATGGAATGCAGCCTGAAACATCATCTAGATTCCAATCTAAAAACGTGATTTGCATGGGCTGAAGAGCCATAGATGTGTAGGCCTAGTCTCGGTCATTTCCCAGCTGTGTGTCATAGACGACAGATCTAGAGACATAAATGTGTATTATAAACTGCAGTGAAGTAATCCAGCGGGTTTCCATCAGATTTCAACCCAGAGCCATTACCCCTCTAGTAATTATTTCATCTGCTGCTCAGATTACCAAGAACATGTCTGCACTGTGTATGCCTATACAAGCAGACAGCTTTCAACATGCAAATGCTAAAACATTTCTGATTATTTAAGAATCTAGATAAATAGGCCTAGCCATCACAATAGCAAGCATGTGGTTAAATTACTCCCTATATGACAAGCTTTGGAGAAAGTCAGCATGTTAAATGAATAATTAACCATATCTTATTGACATACTTTGTAACATTTTCACTGTGAAGGTGGTCGAGTTCACTATGTATAATGATTAACTGTCCATCCCATAATTTCAGTATGATGAGTTTGTGTAAACAACAGAGGACCAAACAATAGCCCTATGGAATCATTGATCCTCAAGAAGAAGAAAAAACATTGACAAGACCAGAGGAATGCTTTTAGTGGAATAACCGATCAAATAGTCAAATGTATCTACTTTCAGACACTGAGGAAAATAGGAGGTACAGGTCCAGGTCTCTACGCTGACTTAAAAAAAAAAAACATATATACAAGGAGCAGGTGTGAGCCTAAGTTGAAAAATTTAGGAGCACAAAGACATTAAGGAGCACAATGAAAAATATTTGAGGTAACAAGCTGTTTTCTTTGTGGTAATGGTGCAAGCATGCCTGTCATGAATCTGCGCTCGGTGTATTCTCCATGGCACTCAGGGGCAGCTCGGTGTATTCTCCATGGCACTCAGGGGCTGCGGTACAGTGAAGTAATCATTGCAACCACTTTCATTTGGGTGATTTTTTTCTAGGCGCACTGAGGTCTATTGCCTTTATAACAATTATGACAATCGTTATAGGAGCAACAACATGACAGACTCACAGAGAGAAAAATAGAACAGAGAGACCTCAGAAAACTCCATGACAAACGTACTTCCAAACCCAGAGAGACACTGAGGGAGAGCAAGCCCCTGGGTCCAATAGAGAAAACTGAAGAGGATGAGTGAGAAGAGGAGGAACCATGGCCAATCAGAGTAAGAGACAGACTCTTGCTAGGAGGGATGATTTGAAGTGCAAGTGATAAAAGAGAACAGGAAGGAAGAGAAGAGGTGGAGTGGACCGAGAACCATTACAAGGGAGAGGGAAAGGAGGCTGTTTAGATAGGAAGAGAGGAGGAAGCAGTCATGGAAAACAATAGGAGGAAGAAGAGAAGCACTGCAGACTGGACGAGGGAGTGCGAGAGGAGGTGAAAGGGCAGAGAGGAGGACATTAGTGCTTCACCAACTGTAGGAGAGAGTTGCCATTGAAGGGATTCCATTAATGCCCCGTTCTGGCCGACAGCGAAGTCGGCTCAAAACAAAAGTGACGTGCAGTAGGTGAAGCACGTGGAGTAATATGTAGGATTGTGTTTTTCTATGCAAAAGTGATTGCGTTTAATAAAAATGCTTTATCTGCATTCTCAATTAAACCTAGTTTGAAAATTCAAACATATTTCATGGAAAAGATATGTATGTTTCTGAACGATGCTTCATGATGCCTTATTGACAAGATGGCCAAGTGGCGCAGATTACTGTTCAGTTTTAGCAGGGCGCACCCTCCCTCACTGGCTTCGCCCGGTCACGTGACGGGCCATATCCCGGTTCAACCCGGGCCAGCTTAAATTGAATCCCTCATTCTTTAGCGGAGTCTGAGGGCACTAGAGTTGCGTTAGTATTGGTCGGTGAAGAGAGAGGACGTCTTGGCTGCAGTCTAGAGGTGTTACAGTTACCCACCTTCTCCCAGAAACCTATTAGGGATGCGGAAGTTGGGGCACGAAGGGGAGAAGATCCGCCGAGCCTGAAGCCATCTTATTCTCTTCTTAGAGCCTGCCAGTCATCACCAACCACAAACACCAGCCATGATACAGACATGTGCACACACAGACAATTAGCAGAGAGAACAAAACCCCAAAAACATTACAAAAACAGACAGACCGACACTCCACATAGGCTTTTGGTGGAGTTCAGTTCAAGCCTGTTTAGTGTCTAACCAAATAGGCTAGACAAGTGGCTTGTCCATTGAGTATTGTTGTTTTGACAAACACACATACAGCTACCCAGAGAGAGAGAGAAAAACACAGCCTAGGTGGTGCAGCTACCGCATAAGTGGCTGTCACACTACCCAACCCCTCAGAACCTGGAGTATCTTTGACTCGAGTCAAAGATACTTTTCCCATCTTTCATCTGTGCATGAGTTGTTTCAAAACTGTGGTTGCCACTTATTTGTCATTACTTCAGTGTTGCCTATGGAAACAGATCTACTCAGCAAATTTAGTAGTACAAATACAAATCACTGGCAATGTATAGAGAAAATGCATGCTTCCCACCATTAGTTAGTCTTGTTTGCATGACAGTTGACAGCTTGCTTCCGTATCAAGCAAGCTAGTTAGTTCGCTGGAGAGAATACTTGGTTACAGCTAAAGTTCATCATCTGTCTCTAATATTGTAATTCGAAGATCTACCTTCCTAAACAATTACGCTATCTAGCTGTTTAGATTGCTCGCCAGTTAGTTACTGTAGCTAGCTAAATCCAGCTAGGTACTTTTACATGGATAGCCGCTAACGTTAGCTAGAATAATAACTACAGTTTAGCTAGCTACAAACCTGAGTCTCTGATGGGAGGCCTCCCCGACAGTTTCTCGAATTTGTTGAGCTGATCCAAGCCGCGACTACATTCACCTTCTTCAACAGAGGACATTTTGAAAAGGTAGCTAACAGTAAATAAAAACTTTCATCAATTGAAATTATGCTGAAACAAACTTCGATAAGAAGGACCAAAAAAACGAAACTAGACATGCATCCACGTCAACTTGAAGCGTCGTTCACGCCAGCTGAAACGCTCCAGCCAATCAGATAATCGGGAAGGCATTCAAGAGTCACAGCATTCTGAAACGTTGGAAAATGTGTTAAAATGTTTGCGAACAAACTTCCAGACAGATGGGTGGTAAATGTAGTCAGGGTTAACAGAGTAGACGTTTCGAGGGAAGTTACTTTATAACGGATAGCCAAAGAGGTATGAAGACATAGAATTAGGAATTAGAATTGATTTGAAATATTAGGATCCCCATTAGCCATGCCAATGGCGACAGCTGGTCTTACTGAGGTCTGACCAGTGGCGGTCGGTGCCGTTTATGATGAGGGAGGACAACATTATTTTCCCTGAGCATGGCCTTATTTCTGTTACAGCATATTGGATGACTGTCATTCATATTCCATTCACCCAGTTCAATGTAACATAGATAGGTTTAGGCTACTACATGATACTCTAATTTTCCCTGTACCCATCATGAGGTTGCTAAAACCTAGCCTATCAATGAACGTCTACAGCGTAGGTGCACACAGGTTGAGAGAAAATGTTGAGGTGACAGATAGTGATCTAGGGTGAAAAAGGTATTTAATCAGGTCAACACCCTCAAGGCCACAGGGCCCGACGGAATTCCAGGGTGCATCCTCAGAGCATGCGCAGTGTGGTGCCAGAACAACAACCTCTCCCTTAACGTCAGTAAGTCAAAGGAGAAGATCGTGGACTACAGGAAATGGGGGGGCGAGCACGCCCCCATCCACATAGACGAGGCCGCTGTGGAGCAGGCCGAGAGCTTCAAGTGTCCTCAGTGTCCAAATCACAAAATACTTAAAATGGTCCAAACACACATGCACAGTTGTGAAGAAGGCACGATAGCGCCTTTTCCCCCTCAGGAGGATGAAAAAGTTTGGCATGGGCCCTCAAATCCTCCAAAAGTTATACAGCTGTGGCGCTACAGAGGGTGATGCAGACAGTCCAGTACATCACTGGGGCCGAGCTCCCTGGCTTCCAGGACATCTACAGTGCATTCGGAAAGTTTTCAGACCACTTCCCTGAACCTCTCATTTTTAGAGTGTAGCTAACAAAATAGCTACACAGAATATCTGAGTTAACCTTGTATCCTTATTTACCTTTAATTTTAACTTTTGTCTCTATGCACACTTACAGGGCCCTACACACTCAAACACACACACTCACTCCATCATCTGCTCACTCCCAGCAGTTATCAGTGTTCACGTCTGATCTGCCAGCCACTAAATGTCAAATCAGGCTAAAGTCGTGCTTCAAATGGCCCCGCCCGTTTTTGGGGCGATTTCAGTCAAGTTGAAAATCGCCCAGAAGTCTCTCATAGCCTGTCATGTAAAATCTATTTTTTTCACATTTCAAAGCTTTCAATACATTCTCTATGGGTGTCTGTGGGCTTGCACTTACGCGCTTTCGTCATACGTGACGTAACGTTGAACGTAACTAAGACAATGGCGGCTAGAAGCGTCTCTGTTGCGACCTGCAGTGTGGCGTTATTTTATGTTTTTAATTTGTAGACTTAGTTTACAAACATTCTGCCAACCATGGATTTCCAGTGGTTGGTTTTGGACTGATCTTGTTGATCGTGTACATACCCGCTACGAACGGACTAAATAATGAAAACGCTGCTGGCAGCTGAATCCCAATACAGCTGGGAGACTTGGCTGGATGAGTCCCGGACAGAGAAGTGGAGCCGGCCACCTTCACCCTGGTCAGAGCGGACCGTGATCCTGGTAAGAGAGCGACTCTGTACCCCGACATTGAACTGCTTTCTGTGTCATTGCGACCTTACTATCAATTCAATTCAATTTAAGGGCTTTATTGGCATGGGAAACGTGTGTTAACATTGCCAAAGCAAGGGAAGTAGATAGTAAACAAAAGTGAAATAAACAATAAATATTAACAGTAAACATTACACTCAGAAGTTTCAAAAGAATAAAGACATTTCAAATGTCATATTATGTATATATACAGTGTTGTTACAATGTGCAAATAGTTAAAGTACAAATGGGAAAATAAATAAACATAAATATGGGTTGTATTTACAATGGTGTTTGTTCTTCACTGGTTGCCCTTTTCTTGTGGCAACAGGTCACAAATCTTGCAGCTGTGATGGCACACTGTGGTTTTTCACCCAGTAGATAAGGGAGTTTATCAAAATTGGGTTTGTTTTCGAATTCTTTGTGGATCGCTGTAATCTGAGGGAAATATGTGTCTCTAATATGGTCATACATTTGGCAGGAGGTTAGGAAGTGCAGCTCAGTTTCCACCTCATTTTGTGGGCAGTGTGCACATAGCCTGTCTTCTCTTGAGAGCCAGGTCTGCCTACGGCGGCCTTTCTCAATAGCAAGGCTATGGTCACTGAGTCTGTACATAGTCAAAGCTTTCATTAAGTTTGGGTCAGTCACAGTGGTCAGGTATTCTGCCACTGTGTACTCTCTGTTTAGGGCCAAATAGCATTCTAGTTTGCTCTGTTTTTTTGTTTGTTCTTTCCAATGTGTCAAGTAATTCTCTTTTTGTTTTCTCATGATTTGGTTGGGTCTAATTGTGTTGTTGTTGTTGTTGTTGTTGTTGTTGTCCTGGGGCTGTGTGGGGTCTGTTTGTGTTTGTGAACAGAGGCCCAGGACAAGCTTACTTAGGGGACTCTTCTCCAAGTTCATCTCTCTGTAGGTGATGGCTTTGTTATGGAAGGTTTGGACACACCTCACTCCATTATCTGCTCACTCACACATAACATACACGTACAGTTATACTGACTCAACACACAAGCACACCCATTCACATACAAGCTGCTGCTACTCTGTTTATCTTACATCCTGATGCCTAGTCACCTTACCCCTAAACAGTACCAGTCAAAAGTTTGGACACACCTACTCATTCAAGGGTTTTTCTTTAGTTTTTTACTATTTTCTACATTGTAGAATAATAGTGAAAACATCAAAACTATGAAACAACACATATGAAATCATGTAGTAACCAAAAAAGTGTTAAACAAATTAAATTATATTTGAGATTTGAGATTCTTCAAATAGCCACCCTTTGCCTTGATGACAGCTTTGCACACTCTTGGCATTCTCTCAAACAGGTTCACCTGGAATGCTTTTCCAACAGTCTTGACGGAGTTCCCACATATGCTGAGCACTTGTTGGCTGCTTTTCCTTCACTCTGCGGTCCGACTCATCCCAAACCATCTCATTTGGGTTGAGGTCGGGGGATTGAGGAGGCCAGGTCATCTGATGCAGCACTCCATCACTCTCCTTCTTGGTAAAATAGCCCTTACACAGCCTGGAGGTGTGTTGGGTCAATGTCCTGTTGAAAAACTAATTATAGTCCCACAGACAGTGTCACCAGCAAAGCACCCCCACACCATAACACCTCCTCCTCCATGCTTTACGGTGGGAAATACACATTTACATTACATTTACGTCATTTAGCAGACGCTCTTATCCAGAGCGACTTACAAATTGGTGCATTCACCTTATAGCCAGTGGGATAACCACTTTACAATATGTTTTTGTTTTGTATTCATATTTCTTTTTTCTTTAATTTTTTTTTTATATCTTATTTTTATCTTTTTTATTTTTTTTATTTTTAATTTTTTTTTTGGGGGGGGGGGGGGGTTTGGGGTAAGGGAGGGGTAGAAGGATTACTTTATCCTATCCCAGGTATTCCTTAAAGAGGTGGGGTTTCAAATGTCTCCGGAAGGTGGTGAGTGACTCCGCTGTCCTGGCGTCGTGAGGGAGCTTGTTCCACCATTGGGGTGCCAGAGCAGCGAACAGTTTTGACTGGGCTGAGCGGGAACTATGCTTCCGCAGAGGAAGGGGAGCCAGCAGGCCAGAGGTGGATGAACGCAATGCCCTCGTTTGGGTGTAGGGACTGATCAGAGCCTGAAGGTACGGAGGTGCCGTTCCCCTCACAGCTCCATAGGCAAGCACCATGGTCTTGTAACAGATGCGGAGATCATCCGTTCACCCTCACAGCGTCTCACAAAGACACGGTGGTTGAAACCAAAAATCTCAAATTTGGACTCCAGACCAAAGGACACATTTCCACTAGTCTATTGTCCATTGCTTGAGTTTCTTGGCCCAAGCAGGTCTCTTCTTCTTATTGGTGTCCTTTAGTAGTGGTTTCTTTGCAGCAATTCGATCATGAAGGCTTGATTCACACAGTCCCCTCTGAACAGTTGATGTTGAGATGTGTCTGTTACTTGAACTCTGTGAAGCATTTATTTGGGCTGCAATTTCTGAGGCTGGTAACTCTAATGAACTTATCCTCTGCAGCAGAGGTAACTCTGGGTCTTCCTTTCCTGTGCCGGTCCTAATGAGAGGCAGTTTCATCATACCGCTTGATGGTTTTTGAAACTGCATTTGAAGAAACTTTAAAAGTTCTTGTAATGTTCCATATTGACTGACCTTCATGTCTTAAAGTAATGATGGACTGTCATTTCTCTTTGCTTATTTGAGCTGTTCTTGCCATAATATGGACTTGGTCTTTTACCAAATAGGGCTATCTTCTGTATACCACCCCTACCTTGTCACAACACAACTGATTGGCTCAAACGCATTAAGAAGGCACACCTGTTAATTGAAATGCATTCCAGGTGACTACCTCATGAAGCTGGTTGAGAGAATGCCAAGAGTGGCTATTTCAAGAATCTCAAATATAAAATATACTTTTTTGGTTACTACATGATTCCGTATGTGTTATTTCATAGTTTTGATGTCGTCACTATTATTCTACAATGTAAAAAATAGTAAAAATAATGAAAAACCCTTGAATGAGTAGGTGTGTCCAAACTTTTGACTGGTACTGTACATATCTACCTCCATCACTCCAGTATCCTTGCACATTGTAAATATGGTATTGGAACTGACCCTTTATATAGTATGCCTACTTAGTTATTGTGTTTTTCATATTTCTTCTTATTTCTCAAGTGTTTTTTTTCTAGTATTACATTGTTATTGATTATTGCATTGTTGGGTTTTGAGTTTGCAAGAAAGGCATTTCACTGTACTTGT